TATATATATATATATATATATATACTAAAAGTGTTTTCTGAAGATCAAAACATTCTTATTGACGAATCTAGCTGGTGTGTGTTGCATAACTCAAATGAAATCCGGCTCTGACTGATTATTTTGGGCTACAGTGGCTGGGATTAGGAATGTGGTGTATTAGCTCAAATAGCAGCGTACTTCCTTCGCAATCGAGAGGCAACAGGATTTGTTATCCGCATCCCCATGAGAATTTGTACAATTCTCATCAGCAATACTGGAGGATTTCCATCCTTAGGGTGATATTTTAAAATGTCGATCTGCCACAACCTTTTCACGGAAGTACAAAGATTATCGACAATTACACAAAAACAGCAGCAACATTGTCCACAATTCCTGGGAAAAGAAAAACTGGCTGTTGATTGTCATCTGACATTGCGTAAAGTCATCCAAAGCAACTGACAAACAAGATCACAACCTCACAATCACCTCACTACATCACTTCCAAATGATCTGATATGAATTCAAACATGATCAACTAGGCATTTATGATTCGATTTTCACATTGCAAACAGTATTGAGTGTATGCCAACATCCAAGCATTTCATGAATATTTATGAATGCACACAATGCCTCACAGCAGCAGAATGCATTGTGTATCACTTGTCTGTGAAACTGTGACTGTTAACAAGGTAAAAAAGCATTAGTAGTGGGTCACTACATAAACTTACCACACATGTCGTTCCCTATTTTTATGTAAGCATATCTATTGTCACCCCATGAGGTCCCCCATGAATTGTGTACTATCCAATATGGCACTTCCCTTGTGATAAATATGAAGACATATTGAAAATATACCCCAGATGGGAAATGATTAATAGCAAGTCGCACTACATAGTGTACACTTATAATGGCATGAAATGATTAATAATGCTTGCAATAACAGTTTTGGCATGAAACTGAGCATCAATTTCTCTACTTTACACTGAAAGTACTTAATTCAAACTAGTAAACAAACAAGAGAAAACAAATCATCGGAGAGGATAAACGCTGTGGACAGCTTGCTGATTATAGTGCAGATGCATCAGGCTGTTTTCTGGGATGTTGGCGCACAGCCAGTGTTTGCCAGTGTCGGCTCAATTTTGTGCCCTTGACAGGACGTAATCCGTGAAGGCCAGCGCTTTGAACCTTTATATGCTCTGAGGCACAAGTAAAGAGTGTTTAATCGCCCGTGTCTGTGTGTGTACCTGTGGTATCACAACCGGTGATCAGTATGGCATGGTTGGTGTTGTGGCTGGAGCAGTGGTGCTGTATGATGCCGCCCAGGTAATCCTGCCAGCTGATGGCATCCACGATGACAACAAGAGACCCCGACTCCACCAGCACACTCATCATCACCTCTTCCTGACCACTACAACAACATATTTTGTCTTTGTCCCAGTTGGTTAAGACAGAAATCTTGTCTCATCTCAATAAGAACACTATGTGAGACACAGAGTGACATTTGGCACAAATGTAAGACAACGAAACACAGGTGAGAAGTGCATTTGGTATTTGACCAGTGGTACGTGAGCTTTGTGAGTGTACAGTCAGTGGCCGTTCAGCACCTGACCCTGAGTTGCAAACAGAGTTGAGTAAACATAAAATGCTGACAAATACATCCTGACAAACTTCAACCTTGAATTTGAATAGTACATGAGGTCTACACTGCACTTAATGCAACGGCACAGCAGACTGTTGATGTAAAGCTCAAGCCATCTGCATGCTACCTCCATTACCTGAAGTCATAAGCGGAGTAATTCTTCACTGCCACTCCAGCGTGAGACTGAGGAAAGTACTGGCAGATCCCAGCCTCGTCTTTGAAGGGATACTCCGCCTCATTTACTAACTTTAGTTTAGTCTGAAATAAAAAAGATATATAAAACAGAATATTAGAATGTGCCAATTATGGAATTTCTGGGATGACATACACCTTTAATCAGCAGCTTGTTGTGGCTTGTGCAGACAACTTCACTTTAAGTTTCAAGTCTCTCAGAACTGGTGCAGCTAGCTAATTAATTAAAACCCTTATTAAAATACTGATTAAAAAGTGTGTTCCAAAAAACAGGTGTCATTTAAAAGCTTAGAATGTGATCTGACCAGCTTAATTACTGCTTTTAATCAGATGTAAAATTGTTTGCAAGATTTAGGGAATATGAAAATAATGATAATAGGAAAATAACAACCTGTACAAACTCTGTTGCACAACCGTTCAAAAGTTTGGGGACAGTAAGATTTATTGAATCAAAATTGCAGTAAAAACAGTAATATTGTGAGATATTATTACAATTATTAGTTATATCGTCACGAGAAAAAGAGAAAGAAGATGACAGCACCTGTGCGAGCCAATCCAGAGCTCCAACAGTAGATCCGCCATTGCAGCCCTCGTTTTCATAAGAACAGTCTATAAAACCTGCTGCACACTGAGCTGCTGCAGTTTTCCACCATCTTTCGCAGATACCGTTCCAATGGCCTCCACCACACTGAAGGCCCAGCATCCTCCACACTACACAAAAGAGCAAGAAGAAATGCAGTGCAAACCTATCTATTACACATAGTAAGAAAAAAAGCATTTGCATGAGTGGGAAAAAGTTCAGATAATAATACATATAATATTATTAAATATAACAAAAATATTTAAATCAGTACTTAATCATATTTAATCATACCTTTTCCTAAATAAAAAATCTTTTTGCTCTTCTTTACCTTTTGTTTGGGGTGGAACAAGTTTACTCCTTTGTACTCTATAGTAGCCGGTGCCACTGGACACACACCCCAGACTTGAGCTCAAATAGCCCCAATAAAGCTTTTTTATTCATCAGTCCATGTCAGCGTTGTTATTGTTATCTAAAAATAAAGCTACCTTTTCATGTATTGAATTAAATATTAGATCACAATTTAAATAAATATTACAAATTTAAATGAAAATGTTGCTTTGGAAAGTAACTGATATAAAATACATTTAAGTTGATGTACTAAAAATAAATATAAATAAAGCTATAGAGAGACATTAACATTTTTTTAAAAATAAAACATTTTTAAAAATCTGACAAAAACAAATTTACTAAAGCTGAAACTAAAATTAAAACTGCAAATATAAAAATAAAAGCTCATTCAAAATAGTAATTACTATAATAGTACATAAATAGTAATAATGTAACACTGATTTGTGTTATTTGTGTTAATTTTAAACCTCACCCAAAGAAAGCAGTATAGGCAATTATGACAAGTTTAATGCTGAGGCAGTATGTAACATAGGTAGCCCATATCATGACACACATAAAGCAGAGCCTTTATTCACTGAGTGTCTCAGAGTAGAGCTCTGCCCTGTCCTGACTGCAACTACATATGACATAAAACAAAACTGATGCAGAATCAGCACAAAGATCTCCGAGTGCAGGCCAGTATGGTCACAATGCCATCCCCCAAAAACTGGTTACAAAAACGAGAACACAAAAGAGACACACTATTGTGCACGGACAAGATCCAGGAAAGACGAACTGTGCTAAGAGGCCACTTGAGAGAGAGATATATATATGAATTATATATATATATATATATATTAGGTCCCTTTTCTTGGAACTGATTAGTATTCGCTGCAGGGACTCCATAGGATTTCCTTTGAATACATGTTTAAAACATTTCCTTTCTATGTACAGAGAAATACTGTAGATTTCTACCAGGAAGTACCGGTGATTTGTCAAGGATTTTCGAGTGCTAATGGGCCAGCACTAAACGTGAAGCTGCAGCATTACAGCATATGAAGGACGAGTTCGTTTGCATCTTGTTTAGCTACAAAGGCAGAGATACAAAGCAGACAGCTCTTCTATAAAGGCTCAGTTTCCAATCCTGCTTTTACGACCGTCCACGAGAGAGTTTTCCCCATCTGGAACAATATTAAGCATGGGAACCGGTCAGCAAATTACATACATGAGACAACAGATGACACAACATGTGTGGCTAACCAAGGATACCAGAGAAACGAACTAAGAGGAACTTCCCACAGCCATCTGTGAAAAGATAGTCTTTCAAAAAGTAAGAGAAAACATAAGTTTAAAAGTGTAAGGAGGCTGATGATGGTGCAATAGTCCAATCACGTCCACTTGAGGCGACCGATCATTCTACAGTGGTAGAGTTTATCGCCAGAGTCAGTGTGCTCACTGTCAATACTCCATTTCACACTCATAAAGGTTGTTCCCCACAGTCTGGGGTCGGGGAGAGGATGATGGAGTAATGGGCTTGAGGTGGAGGAGGTGCGTGTCCTCAGGACTTGTTGTCGTCGTACATGTCCAGCGACGCCTGGATGTCTGGAAGCTCCATCTCACAGACTATGCTGCGCGGAGACACAGAATTACGGTTGAAGAAATGACCACCTGAAAACAGACGAACAACAAAAATGATGGGGTTAGATCAAGACATAAAAGCCATTTGTACATGTGTGATAATGCTCAGTTTTTGTGTACAACAGGGGGACAGAAAGAAAACGAGAAAGATGAAAGAAAGAATGATTCTTTTGAATGTTAATAAAGTATTTAAGCAATCCTGCTGACTGAAAAGACTTATTTACCTCCTCCATAAAGGTTGTGCTCAAATCTGACATTTCATCTCAGCACAAAATCAATGTCAGTCGTTTACGTGTAATCAACACTTATTATGTCCTTGACACCAGACCAATTAATTACCATCAAGCTTCTCAACGGAAATCTGATTTTTTTTATGGAGGTGTTTGGGTGATTTGTGAATATACAGCTCCTTTATTTAACTCTAATGTTGTCATTTTTACCAGTTTCATTTACTCGAAAATGCTAATTAAATGCATTGGACTAAAACATACTGACTTTGCTCACACACGGTACAACTTCCCAAAAACTTTTGATTATTTCTTTACTTTTTACCCCCGCCTTGTTACACTTGTGGTGCTCCTGGCCAAAAATGACTGCCTACAAACATTGCTTACAAACTTCTCCAAAATTAGCCTTAAATAATGCTTTTTATTTTTTCACTCAAAAACTAAGGTTCGTAAGCACAGATCAGTGAGGCCTATGGCTAATCAATTCCAAAAAAAATAAAAAATAAATATAAAACCTGTGCTAATTGAAAGAAAACAAGTTGAATCCAAGATTTGGTGATAATATAGCATAATGACATTTACCAACCATTTTTAAAAGATACAACCAAATTAGGTAAAGGATTTTCAACACAAGACAATGTTTAAGCAGATTTTACCCGCAGGTGGGTAAATAGATACATAAAATAATGAAATTAATAAAAAAAAATTATTATGTAAAATAAAATAAATAATTATTTTATTATATTGATGTACTTAAATATGCTGGATATTTTATCCTAAAAATGCTGTGCTAACTTGTAATCATATGACTATAGACTCAAAGACAGCAGCTTAATAATGTATATTATACTACAGTACAGCAAAATATGCTTCACCCCATCAAGTAATCCGTCATTAGCTTGTTCAAGTTTTTTTTTTTTTTTTACGTTTCCAACTAAATTCAGCTGGAGCCGAATGGCTCTGACCTTAAGTTATACAATGCATTAAATGTTAGGCTGATACAAAACACAATCTGGCCTCATAGATGTGTTACAGTATTTTTAGTGCTCTTGGCTTGACTTACTGTAAGGAACTACTGAATTCAACTGTAGAGCTATTATATGCCACAGTAAATCAATATTGTCTAGTAGACATGTGACATGATGGAGGTTCCTGGTCTGAATGTAAAAATTAGATTCAGGAGTCTCACCATGGTAAACTGAGAGAGACAGAAATCATCAAAAGAGTATCAGGGAATACAACAAGTACTAGTAACAACTAAAAAGCTCAACCAAGATTTTTGCACAAAGCAATTTTAATACACACACAAATGTCTTTAAAAATGTTATTAACATGACAATCAAGGATAAAAAAAATACAAATTTGAAAGACATTTAACATATGCGAACACTATTCATTTAAAATGAAAACAAAAAAGGGCTTATTAATTACAGCAATTGAGTAAAACAAGAAGTTCATTAGCAGTATCACCCAGTGAAAAGCTCTGAATGTGCTCATGTCTACAGAGTTGGAAGTTAGCTCTATTAACACTACCAATGCATGTGCAAGAAACGGGCTTGAAGTGCAATCGGCAACTTCGTTTTTCAGGATGCATTTCTGTTTTAGAAATCAGGACACCACAAAAGAAAAAAAAAATCTTCATTCCAACTTCAGTCTGTAAAAGACATAAAAAATAGAAAATGAAAAACATTTAACAAGCACTGATTTGAGGTACATGGTAATAATAGAAAACTCGTACAGAAGTTATTTAGTTGTGGACACGCATTCCTTTTTTTTTGTAGTATTGTTTTTTTTTTTTTACTAAAATCAAAATTAAAATGGAAAATATAAAAATACAAATTCAAACTGTAATAATATCTCAATGACACTGAAGTAACACTAGTTTGTTTAAATATAAAATGTATCTAAATAAACATAATAATTGTTTGATCAAACTCATTTAAAGATTCATATTACAGCCCTTACAGCTACATAATACTGACATTTTATATTTACTTGTAGAAAAGTAGTACATTAATGTAGTAGTACACTAATGTGACAAATCATCCTGTGAAGTAGGTACTAACTCACTGTTAATGTATTTAGTGATGCTATGACATTCTGAAAATCTTGATCTACAATACTCACTCATATGTGGGGCTGCTGGCAGTGGCTCTGATGATCATGTAGCAAAGTGTGAGAGCAGAGAGGATGCCGAAGCTGGCAACAATAAACCACTCTTCTGTTGACAGAGTAAAAGGGGGAGGGGTCATTTTCTGTTGAGGGCGGGGCCAGGGTATCATCTCGACAGAGAGCCGATGAGAAGAGGAAACTGGCGACAGGTGAATGCGTGAAGAAAAGAGGAACACTTCTCTAATCCGTGGAACAGGAGAGGAAACCACAGGCAAGCGATGATCGCAAACAAGACAGATTAAAACACAAGCGCGAAACTGAACATAGCACATTCAGAGCACGTGACACTTAGTGCTGGTTTAGCCGGACATTTACAAAGCAGAGAGGATTTTGCATTTGCTAAGAAGACCATTTCATTAGAAGACGCATCAGCAGCTGAGTATTCCATATATATGTTTATTTATTTATTTGTATTAAATCTGTAAAATTCTACAAAACAAAAATTACAATTTGTACAATTTAGGGACAACTATGATTTCAGAAACAACCAAAAACCTTCTGTAAAAACATGAATAAATTGCAGAGCTGTTCAAGCAGATACACCTGCTTGGGGTTCTTTAACATAATTAATCACTACAATACAAACACAGGCCAACAGGTGGGGTTAAAATTGCTGAACATAATATTTTAAAGACATAGCACCAGGTCCAGGACAAATGGTTGGTAAATAATAAATTATCCCACAAACACGTAATTACCTTACATCTGTTTCTGCAACAAAGGTGTGGAGCTCCTTGAGCATTTACTTATTTCATTTGTTTGCAGTTTTATGTTCTTTACTTCAGTTCCAATGCACTCAACGTGTGTTACTGCTCTGTATAACCTAAATAACTAAAATAACTTCAGAGAGAAGGCAAACGAGAGGTCGTCTGTTATTTAAAGCCAGCTTGAGCAAAGTTGAGTCACAGGTTTGAGGAGAGTCTGATTACATAGATGCTGACATCAAAAACAGATATGCAGATAGATATTATTCAATTCCAGGTAAGAGGAGAAAGAACCACTCAAAAAAAATAAAAATAAATAAATAAATAAATAAATAAAGTGAAAATGAGATGAGATGCTGGAGTGGATTGTGTCTGATATCTTTCTAAATTTACCTTAAACTTATTAACATGCAAGAGAAGATAAGAGGAAAAGATATAATATGGAATATGAAGGCTGAATATGATGTCACCAAATACATATTTTGTTTTTGGTGAAGGTCTAAGGTACTAGAGGTGTAGTAGAGGCTGGTGTAGCAAAACAATTAAACTTAGAAATTTACCAATCAATATGAATTTTCAAATATTGTTTTGAAACAAACTGCATGGAATGAACATTTCAATCACTTTACATACAGCCACCACAATGACAGATAAAAGAGATACAAGGAGGAAAACAGCAGTGTCTGTTAGAAAAAAGGTGCATCCTATCACCTGGATTAACAATGCATTTATGTCAAATTGAAATGCAAGTATCTTAGCATAAAAAACAAACGTGTGACACAGAGATTTACATCAAATAAAATTTTTAGAATTTTTTTTCAAAAAATTATAAAAAGATTAATACAAGATAATATATATTTTTAATATAAAAAATAAACTTACTACTATGAATATTATATAAAAAAAATTTTTTATAAAATAAAATAAGCCTACCTTAAGTCAAAGGGAACTTTTTTTTTTAGTTAAAACATTTTGAACATTTTTTTTGTTTGTTTTTTTCATAAAAATGTGTGGATTATAACTAAAATATAAAAAATATGTGAGCAATAATATACACTCAAGACAGCCATTATCGCAAAATAAACACCTACAGGGTGACCATCCTAAAGGTGTTTATTTTATGATAATGACTAGCTGAATGTACATTATACTGATTAGTATACATTATATATATATATATAAAATTAATTTTTTTTTTGTATGTGAGAAAAGAGACCACAGAGTGCCATGACATACATGCAGTGACTTAAAGGGGTCATATGATGCGATTTCAAGTTTTCCTTTCTCTTTGAAGTGTTACAAGCTCTTGGTGCATAAAGAAGATCTGTAAAGTTGCAAAGACTAAAGTCTCAAATCCAAAGAGATATTCTTTATAAAAGTTAAGAGTCAACCACGCCTACCTAAAACGGCTCGTTCTAACACGCCCCACATAACCTACGTCACTATCTGG